AAGTGTATAAAATTGTAAGTATGTTGCTTACAGCTTACAGCAATGAAATGAGCAGCTTACAACAGTGAAATCAACAATACCATTTTAAAGTGCAGTGATCATCATGTAAACAGTGTAAGAGAATGGTGCTTGACATAGAGCATTGAGTTGTGTCCTGTTTAAAAGGATTATAGAAGTTTTAGCCATGTTGGTAGTGCAAAATAACGTTGTGAGTGTGATGCAGAGTCCTGTTTAGAGTTTAGCAGTTCAGCAGTCTGATGGCTGCAGGCAAAAAGCTGTTGCAGAACCTGCGGGACATGCAGCGGATGCAGCAAAGCCACTGTCCAGAGGAAAGAAGGGAGAACAGACCAGTCCAGAAGCCACATAAGCTGGTGGTGGTGTGATGATCTGGGGCTGCTTTTCTTTTGCAGCACCTGGATGATTTTGGTTCATTCATGGAAGCATGATTTTTCTGCTGTCTAGTAGAAAGCAGTAAAGGAGAATGTCCTGCAACAATTAGTGACCTCTGTTAACCTCTAGTGTCCCAAAGTTATTCAGCGGGACATTGGATCTAAATCCTGTTGAGATCCAATGTCATGACCTCAAACCAGGAGTTTATGCTCTATAACCCAGAAATAAGGATGAATTAAATCAGCTCTATCAAGAATACTGGAGCAGATTGATGTGAAACGCACATCCTGTTATCACAAAAATTTGATGGCAGCAATTCCTGCCAAGGAAACCATAACTATTTTATCATGAAAGTATAGTTAAAAACATGGTATTTTAGATTTTAAGACAGATATACTTGTCCTACCTGAAAAATCAGAAAAGGAATAAACTGGGTTTTTTTCAGCACTTCATCGGTCTATGCATCTAATTGTGCAAAACACAGACAAGCCTTTTTTGCAGAAGTGATGTGTAAATCCTTTATTTATTTAAGAACCACTGTGCTTATGCAGTAAAAGACGGTGGTAGATCAAGGAGAAGTAAGTCACATTTAGCCAAAGGCAGGGAGCATTAAAGCTGCATGTTTCACATGGTGCACATCTACAGTATCTGCAGCATTAAAAACCATTCGCTGTTATCTGAAGACGAACAATATGAGGAAGAAGCGTGGAAAGTTATTAACCTTTGATCCTGCTTGTAGATAAGAAGCAGCAGCGGGGAAAAGGAGGGAAAAAATGATATGAAGGGGAATGAAGCGGAGAAGAAAACAGGTCAGAGAGGAAGATGAAACTTTATTGATCGCTGAGAGGAAATGAGGTTGTACCAGTTGTAAAAGTAACACAGATGACATCATGGAAATGAAATATAAAGCTAGAACACGTTATTAAATGACTAAAAATGTTAAACTTAACAAGATAAATTTTTGTTTAATCACTTAATATAATGATAAAATAAAAATAAAGACATCCGGAATAACATAAAAATGAAGATAAGAAAATTATTTCTTTGGGGTCATAAAGAAAAAGTTAATGAGAATGGCAGCTGGAGAGAAATTCACTTCCAGAGGAGAAACCTTACAGAACGAGAAGAGATGAGAGCAAAATGACTTTTTCTTTAACTTGCACATCTCAAAATGCTAAAAACATATCTGCTTTGTTTGGATTTAATATATATTTTCCTGACTTACTTAGTAACAAGGAGGAACATATTTGTAGAGCCTTTAGTGTTTAGATTTTTTTTCATTAGATAGATTGCAAACTTGTTTCCCATTATAATCTTTAGCATTAAGAGTCTTTAAAATGACTCAATGCTTCTAATCCTCACCTGTTTAAATACATCATTAGCTGATCTAAAGGTTAAAAATAGTACTCACAATAAGTTGAATCCTGTTCTTAAAATTGATTTGATCTCATTTTCGCACAGATTCTCTACCGAGCACAGTTGCAGTATTTTCTGTCTTTGAATATGATGTTTGGACTGCAGGAGCAAAGTTGTGTGATTCGAGGCGGCAAAACAATCAGTTAATTTCAAAGGGAGATCTTTGACCTTCAGCATGAGCAAGGGCCTTAATAACTTAGAACTATTAGTCAGTATCTGTAGAGAAAAAATTATAAGTCTTTAAAGGCATCCCTACAACAGCCAAAACCATCTTCTTTGGACCGTGCAAAAAAAAAAAAAAATCAAACATGAAAGATTAATTCTCTTGGGAAGAAGGTGTCATCTGGATGTTCTTGATGGCTAACAACATCACTGGTACGACAAAGAGAACCCATTGAGGATGTTTTTCATGAGGTACAGAAGAAGATGCTTCCCAGTGATCTGGGGAGTTTTTCCCCTCAGTGGAGATAAGGGACTGCAAGTTGCACAAGGGAATTTCACCACAGCTGGAGATTCTATAGCAGACATCCTTCTAGTATATGCTATGATAGGAGGGTCTGTTAACAGGAAATCCCTGCAGTTCACTACATCTTATTTAATGGGCACACAGCAGTACTAGCATGTGATTGCAGTTTTGAATTGATGTTACGAAGTGTTTCATTGTCTGTGCAGTTAGCTTTAGCGTCTGATTGTTTTTTTTTGTTTTGTTTTTTTTTTGGTCTGTTTAGTAATTTTGCAATAGCAAAGCTAATATAGTGCCTTGTGAAAGTATTCTTCCCCTTTGACCTTTTTGAACATTTGCCACATATCAGGCTTCAAACATAAATGCGTAAAAATAATTTTTTTTGTAAAGAATCATCTACAAGCCGGACACAATCATGAAGTTGAACAAAATGTAATAGATATTTAAAACTTTTTTAACAAATATAAAACTGAAGACTGTGGTATACAAAATTAAACAACCCCTTTAGGATCTCTGATTGATCCGATGTTGACTTAAAATGACTGATGATAATAAAAGGAATCCAGCTGCACTGTGATAGAAGCAGAGGTCTGTTTAAAGCGCAGGGAGCTTCATAAAAAACAAGGAACACACCAGGCAGGTCTGATATACTGTTGTGGAGAAGTTTAAAGCTGGTTTTAGATATAAAAAGATTTCCCAAGCTTTAAAAATCCCAAGAAGCACTGTGCAAGCGATGATATTGAAATGTATGGAGTATCAAACCAATGCAAATCTGCGAAGGCCTGACCGTCCCTCTAAACTTTCTGCTCAAACAAAGAGAAGACTGATCAGAGATGCAGCCAAGACAACAATCAGACATGTATTGCACAAATGATGTGCAAAACTGATAGAGATGTACATAAAGCAACTTGCAGCTGTAAACACAGCAAAAGGTGGTGCATTAACTCAATGGGGCGGAAACTTTTGCTCACCCAATTTTTCAGTTTTATATTTGTTAAAGTTTAAACATCCAATATATATTACTGCACTCAATGATTGTGTCTGATGAATGCAATTTTTTATCTTTATGCTTAAAGCCTGAAATGTGGTAAACATTTGAGGGGGGTGAATGCTTTCACAAGGCACTATATTTCAGTTTGCAGTCTACGTGCTAAGCTGACTGTTTGGTTAGCTTTAATACTAGATTATGTCATGTCCCAGGAATTACCAAGTAGCTCCACTTTGAAAAACTGCACATGCCTGTTCAGCTAAAAACACAGCACAGAAGCTTTAGTACAGGCTGAGTTAAAATATAATGTTTAAATTAATTACGGCATCAAGAACTCTTGTTATAATGTGTCAAGGGCTTTTCAAACATATTTGTTAGGAGAGAGCAAAGGTTAATAAAACAAGATTATAGATTTAATTTAGACCTTCACCCTTCTTTTTTTCAGCTGTCACTCCTCTCATACTTTCCTCTGTACTACTCAAACAGGGCCGCGTTAATAAGACCTAAATCCATAAATCTTCCTCGGTTTGAATTCCGAGTGAGAGTCCAACTCTTAATATAAATGAAGGGAAAAACTGCAGGGAGCCAACAATCATTTTACAGTGAGTATTATCAAGTGGAGGGGCATGATTATCATCACAGTTAGTAACAAGCCAAATGAAGCTGCTATGCGGATGTTTCATCTTACCTTTCATTGTTCATCAGTGGAGCAGTCAAACTCAGGCTTTATTGCCTGATGGGTGAGTCAGCTTGGTCGGCTTCTCGCTTAGAAGGTCTGCTTTGACATTGATTCTTGTGTTTCTTGAGTAGTCCAAGGTTTTTCTTACAGTCGGTAAACTAGCACCTTGGTACATTTCCATCTCCTTTGATGCACCTTTCATGATGTGATTCCTCTTTAAGTCATATCCTTAAAAGTCTTGGTCATACAGATATAAGGACTAAATACAGTATTTGCAGGTCAATGCAGCTAAAACTGGCTCTCTAATGTGTTGAGCCAGGGGAATAGTTCACTCCTTATATTATATATATATATATATATATATATATATATATATATATATATATATATATATATATATATATATATATATATATATATATATATATATATATAATTTTTTTATCGTATTGATCTATTTTTTTAAATACATAAAATTTAGTAATGATGTGTTTTCAAAAGCAGCTAATTAATCAAAATAATATTTGCATCAAACCTTTTCAATAGGCTTTCATATCCCAAAAAAAAAAACACAACAGAAGGGATAATCACTTAAAGTGATCAGTGGAATTTTTTTCTCTGGATTTTTTTGTTGCATTATCAAAAGTTAAAGAGGGTAGACACTAAACTTCATTATTTGTCTTGTATTTTAAAAAGTGAGGAAAATGTGTAATTTTACTTCTACATCGCACCTTTTTTTGTTATTTCATAGCACAAAATTCATTGAAGCTTTTGGTTCTAATGTAACCAAAGTGTAAAAAACCAAAACAAACAAAATTTAAAGATTAATATTCTTTGAAATGGACTGTAGTTATCAGTGAAATGAAAGCTATAGTCTGCTCCAAAGATGGATTAGTGTCTCAGTGATGTACGTTAATTTCAGTTTGGGATATTCTTCAACCCCAATGTGGTTTACAACATGTTTTGTGTTTTAAAAGATGAATGTAGGCATTTTGCTGAGACAAGCTTGATGACATCCAGAGATCAAAGTTTATGGTTTCTAACAGAGCTGTTCTTTCTTTCAGATTGGAGTCTCCCACTCGCTCTTTACTGATGGAGGCACCGAAAGGAATCCAGATCCTGGCTGAGGCTGGAGACATCCAAGCCATCTGCAGAAACGAGCTACGGCTGGAGTCCAAAGATGGAGAGGTGGGTTACCTTTCTGGCTGACTTGTAGGCTGCTTAAATGCCATTAACCATTAACTACATAAAAAAAAAAACATTGAGAATGATAAATAAGAAAAAGATTACCAACATAACTGAATTGGGACAGCTGAATTGGCTTCTTCTTAATACACTGATGTATTTCCATGTCATTCAGGACATGATAGTGAAAATTGACAAGCTTTTTTTTTTTATATACTTAATTCCAAATCTATATGTTTAATCCCCCATTAGGTTGCTAACATTAAATATAACTGAATCACATCAGGCCTGCCTAAGAGTCATTGTGATTCAATATATAATATTCGATATCAGTGGTTTAGAGTGGGGGTGCTTTACTGCGTCAGGAACTGGTTGGCTTATCATCAAAGATTAAACCATGAACCCTGACGTGTATCAGGGAGTACTGGAGGTACTGTGACACCATCTGTAAAAAAAAAGCATGAACATGAAGCAGAAGTGAAAGTTGAAAACAGCCAAAAACATAGTAAACACACAAAAGACTGGCAGCAGACGTAGAAAACACTAATCATATAATAACACTAAAAATGGGCTAAACATGCAAGAAAAAAAACAAGTTGTGTAGAAAGCTTTCCTAAGATGGATGTCAAACTGTTAGATGGCAACAATAAGGTAGTTTCTTTAAAATAGTCAAATTTCAGTTTTGTTTAATGACTAAATGAGGATCAATTTCAAACTAAGCTCATTTTCTTTTGAAGGTATTCTGAAGTTTTGATCATGATCTTTTGTTTCCATCCAGGAGCTCCGTAGAAAAATTATCCATAGCATCATATTTCCTTCACAGATAGGTCTGTTCAGCTTTCTGTTGCAGGAAAAAACCTTACGTTCTGTTGCAGTGTGGGAGAAATGTAATGTCCTTGTCTTCTGGCTTCAACTCAACATAATATTCCTTCTGTCCAAACTTATTTTAACAAAACAAGCTATGTTAAAATGTTTTAGCCAACATGGGCTGACATTTTTAAGATAGCTGCTGGCGATTTTCCTGCATGCTGGCCCTCCACCAGGAGCGCAAAAAGGCAGGAAAACTGGAAGGAGAAGTGAAATGCTTTCTCCTTTTCTTCCTCCTCCTTTGAACCAATCTTCAGTAACAAAGTGGGAGCCTTTCATGTGCTAATTACTATTTATTTTCTATTCATCTTTTCCTTTATTCTGTCTTTGACGTTATTCCTTTATCATCCTTCTCTCCTGTTTTTGCTCATCCTTCTATTGCTTGCCTTTGTGCTCCTAAGTTCCTCTAACCAGTGATTCGGTACGGCCATCAGCCACAGCGTTCATCACTGTCAGCTGTTATGCTGATAAAAGGATTTCCCTCTGTACATCGCAGCAGGCGTCGTGTGTCAGATCTGTTAAAATCAACGCAGGAGGATTAGAGGGAAGAAAGTATTTAAAAGTTTTCCATGAAAATAGTTTTCTGTATTAGGACTGGCTGATGATGAGAGACTAAACAGCGGCGGTGGAGGTTATGAAGGTGACCCTAGATCCAGTTTGGTCCAATTAAAAGCAGAAGCCGCTGTGCTCCGAGGCTGCGTCTGCATCGTGGCTTCTTGCTGCTGTCACGGACGTGTGCTCAGAGATGAAATGTGGAACTTACTGTGAACAGAGCATATAATTAGGACGTTGCTCTCACACTCCATTAGTCCTGCAAATGTCCATTTATCAAACCTCTGTCTTACACCGAAGCTTCCATGTCCTCTGGAGCAGCCATCGCAATTACAGAAAGGTTTGAGCTATTATCCAGTGATGGGCCACATGGTCAGATACTGAAATTATCTGAAACATTGCAAGGCTGCTCATTAACAGACAGGAGAGCACATGTCGGTGTCTTCCTTAGATAAATGAAAGCTGAACTGACACTGCAACAACAAGTTTTTTTTAGACCATCTCAAAGATCCTGCATCTCGAGTGAGACTGATTGCTGCATAAGAACTTTTAGTAATAATCAAAATACCTTTTAGAAAGTAATGTTTAGTTGATTTGAGAAAACCTATAAATACCGCTCCGAAGGAAGACTGACAGATTGGAAGGAAGGAAGGAAGGAAGGAAGGAAGGAAGGAAGGAAGGAAGGAAGGAAGGAAGGAAGGAAGGAAGGAAGGAAGGAAGGAAGGAAGGAAGGAAGGAAGGCAATAACGTTGCTTGGGTGGGCAGCAGGATGAAGGTATACAAGCAAATGTATGGAAGTATAGAATATGTCCAGCCATCCATATATAGAACATATTGGAGCTGTCCTGTCCAAAGACTTAGTCCTTAAAAGATATCCAATGGAAGTAAATCTGTGGGGATTTGAATTAAAAATGCCGCTAAAATTTAAATGTTGTATGTTTGTACTTACTGTTTCAGTGTTAAAATATATTCAGAACACATTTTTGACCTAAAAAAAAATTAATTGTCAATATTTCTAGTTGAAATTTCATTTATTTTCTCTTCAAGCTAAAAATTCATGTTACTATTTCAAAGTGATTACATTTTCAATACTTATTTTTCAGCTAAATTTTTGAGTGTTAAAAAAATCTGCATATAAAAAAATGTAACCTTTCAAAATTGTATGAGCGCCACATGCGTCATGTGACTAAGAAAACGTAACGGGATTGGCTGGGTGTTGGACAACACAATCCATTGCTAATGTCTGTGAAAGTAAAATTAAATTTCAACTGTGTAGAAATAATGACAATGAATTTTTTTTAGGTCAAAAATGAATATATTTTAACACTGAAACAGTAAGTACAAACATACAACATTTAAATTTCAGTGCCATTTTTAATTCAAATCCCAGCGACAGATTTACTTCCATAGTATCCAGAAGAAGTGGTAATTCTGAATAAATAGAATCTATGTTTTAAATCTGTTTAACAATTTTAAGATAATGAAATCATGTTGGTATTTACATTTAAAAGCAGCTTGTTTTTCCTTTTGTTCTTTGCATAATTTTATAATTTTTCTATATGTTTACAAGAATAAAGTCTGGAAGTAATATAAAACTGTAAAATTATAAAATGTTCACTGGTAAAATACCCTTGTTACATTTAGGATTTTTAAAAGCTTATATACTTGTATTCTTACCCTCCTGGACCAACAAATCCCCACAAAGTCCTGGTCAATTTTCCCCTTGTGGTGGAAAAGATTTGTTCAGCAGCAGCTGTCTGAGGAATTCAGCTGAGAATCCGCTTTAAAAAGGGGTTTAAGGTCATTTGGTGACGATGTCTCCCTGGAGTTCCTGGTAATAGCTCCTCTACTTCCTTTTTTTATGGCTGTAGAGCTCCTCCTTTCTGTGGCCAGTAAAACACCAGCTCACTCTGAGCCTCAGGAGACCGAGCAAGAGGACAGGGGAGAGAGATTGGATTCATGTAGCAGTGTTTTTTTTTTTTTTTTTTTTTTTTTTTTAGTGCAGAAAGTGAGAAGATGTCTGCTCCAATCAATGAGGGAGAGAAAATTTGTTATGAGTGAATGTGTTTATAAAGGGTGAGAGGCAATTCTTTTTTTTCTGCCTGTTTTTGGTCAGAAATTACTGTTTTGGATTTTTACCTCACAAATAGTTGTTGAAGTTCAAGCACACTTCTATGAATCATGGTTATTGATTTTTCTTTATTGCTGGTCTTAGCCTCCTTGAAACTGTTATAGAATTTAGACAATGCAATTATGTCTGAGAAGTTAATCGTTTTATACACACCACTGCTGAAATTAAACAAACTCAGATGAAAGGAAAATCTGAAATGTGATCTCCAAAATGTTTCATGTACTTCTCCTAGACAACTATGAGATATATGTGACATCAGAATGAGACTTTATTTCTCCTCTTTCTCAGTTTTTTTCTCTGGACCAATAAGATGTATTGAAGTTCAATTTAGTCTCCTTTCAAGTTTCAGGAAAAATCTCAACAAGCTCGAATATAATTCTAAGACTTCCCCAACTTTTGTCTTCTTGTGGTTCCAAGCAGATAAATCAGAGAGGTCTCTCTTTGAAATCAGTCAACTACATATCCCTGCAGAGCAAAGGAAGAGCTCCCTACAAGGACTTTCAGGTTGTAGACATAGAGGACATGGAAAAATGAAAGAGTTTCTGGGAAGACTTGAAATAATAATTATTCACAGCATTAAAATATTAGTATTGAATTAATATAATTTAATAGCAAAAATTAATCATTACATTGTTACCCAAACAAGGAAAAAAAATATATATATCAATTATCCGTGGCCAAAAACTTTATTGAATGTAGATCACAAATTATTCACCTTTTATCTTCTCCAGTCAACAAAAACGGATTTGAGATCGGAGTTGATTCTTGACTTCATAGACTATAATTGTTCATGGAAGTTAAAGGCTTTGTTGTATTTTTAGATTTCTGCAAAGGTTTTGACTCCTTATAGCATCCCTTCTTATTTAAAACAGAATAGTTTGGCTTTGGTAAAAGATTTATAAAAGTGATTAATTTAATGTATAAGGAAAACAATGGTTCAGTCCCTCCCTCTCAAGGACAGGGTTAGGGAAGACTGAAGATGCAACAGGGAATCCGACAGGGTTGCCTCTGCTCTCCTTTATTAATTATTTCAGCTGCAGAGTTATTGGATGTTTTTCTTAAGAATAGCCAAGATTTAGCCCTTGAATTTATTTATTCTGCTATCCTCTGATAGTAAATTGGCTCGCTGATGATACTATTACTTTTCTGAAAGATGAAAAACAGCACCTTACTTATAAAAAAATGATAAAAAGTTTTTTTAAGCCTCTGGATTAAACTTAAATTTCTAAAAATGTGAGATAAAGTCAATACACCATTATCAATAAAGCACCATATATGAGATTCAAGTGAAAAAAGAAATAAAATATTTAGGCTTGAACATAACAAAGGATTATAAAGCCTATTTTTTAGAATAGAATCAATAAGTCAGACTTTACAAATAAATTAAATAACAAATACATTTCATTTGGCTTGTCCTGGCTTTAAAAGAGTACAAATAATTCTACTTTTCACCTGCATTGGTTCTCCTACTTCATGAATTCCTGAATTATTTAACTCACAGATGTTTTTTTTTGTCTGTAACTCTGTAGCATAAACAATATGGGCTTCAAGCCTTGCTCACGGCAGAAGTTATATCTTATATTCTGACCTTACTAATATGTTTAAGTGAGAGTAAGTACTGTCAGTGGACAAACGTTTGAATGTTTCTTTGACTACCTACCCCTTAAGAGGATAACACAATTTTCCTTTTAGTTACCACCAACTCATTATTTGCACCAATTTTATATCATGTTAGATCTTAGATGCAACATTTGGACCTTTCTTGTTTAAAGGTAGAAGTATTATACTAGAAAATGTTGCAGTGACTTTTTAAAAACAAAGGTGCATGTAAACTTCTGACTGGAATTGTAAAGCTGTAAATACTGTTTTGTTACTCAGGTTTCTTCGATGCCTAAGTCATCATCTGTTGTCTCAAAAGGTTTCACTCTCTCCACCTTAGATTGCTCTGGATGCTCAGAGGATCCGTCTGATGAGGCTACCAGAGGGAAAAGCCTCCACCAGTTCCTCGTCCTCTGGAACTAGGCAGACAGTCTATGAAGTTTGTGTTTGTCCTAATGGGAGACTTTTCCTGTCCCTGGCTGGCGCCGGATCCACCTGTCAGATCAGCAACAATGTCTGCCTCTAGAACTGCTACTCTAGGATTTTGTATAACTATAAATAAGATATTGGGGGGGGGGGGGGGGGGGGGGGGGGGGGGGACATGCAGAGCAGGTCAATTTCCCTGCATCTAGGACTGATCCACGGCTAAAACAGAGACTGCAAGAGCCAATGGACAAACAAATCAGCATCATTTTCAATCAAAACTTTAACCTTATGTTCAACTGATGTGTTTAAAACGTTAATAAGGACAAGTTTGCTTAAGGTCTCTGACAGGTGCCAACATTTCTTTGTGAAAATATATATTTTTCCCTCACTTCTACAAGACTCAAAATGCTACAAGTTTTAACAAATTTTTAATACAGTTGGACAGATTGGCACGTTTTGCTCTCTTGTGTTTAAAAAAATGACAAATCAGAGACAACAAATAATAAGGTTGATGTTTGTTATGTACTGGCTTGACTTTAATTAATTCACATGACAAAGCTATTTATTAAAAATAAAAGGACATATTAGAAAGAAAAAAAAAAACACCTTAATATAACACTAGACAGTATTTTGTCCTTGCAGACATAAAGAGGTGAATTCTTTGGAGATTTACCATAAAGACACTGATTTCTTCCTCTGGTCCATAAAGCATGTCAGTGCTAGAATCACTAGGGTGATCACCCATGACAACAGGCCTACTTTTCTATTTTTTTCATTCTGTTTTTTTGTCTAGATCACTACAACTCAGACAGTTAAACTGTATTCATAGTATTCATATGGTAATTAACTCCAAGTGTGAGCATATCTAAGTCTAATGATTACTATTTTTATCTCAACCTGAGGTCTTTGAACACAGAAGCTTGGACATGATTGAGGTGAAAATGCATTGTAGTGGTTTTCTACAGTATCCTGGGAACTTAACATACTGAAATTTTAAAATACTAAGACATGAAATGGAAATTTACAATCAGTTCTCCATTCTTATTTGTTTCATGGTGACACTTGGCTCGGATTTCCACATTAATGTTCAGATCTGCACCAAAATCCCTAGAAATGATCCCACTCTAACCCCACACAGGAATTCAGAACAATATTTTGTGAGCATTACTTAATTTCTTCACAGTGCCCCCTAGAAAGGAAGATAATTAAAAAAGATTGGCCCCAAGCCATGCTCATAACAATTACCATAAAGGATTTTGGAGCCATGGTGTTAACCCCATCAGATGCCACCCATTTTGAATCATGCATTGCCCTGATGGAAAAAATGACAGTTTCAAGAATATTTGATAAAAATCAGAAGTCTTTCCAAATGAGGAGGATCTTGTTATTAAGTTAAGTAATTTTTTTTAGTTCATTGTTGAAAACTAACCTGTTTAGGGTTTACATCAAGACGATAACCATCCTATAAGTATAGAACATCTCAATATAAATGAAATTATTGGTCTACTTGCTGGCTCGCCAAAATTTGGTGTCTTATGGAAACACTTGGTGATTTTGCAGTTTGGCTTTGTTTTTGCCAAACACTTGTATATTTATTTGAAAAAACACATTAAAGTGATATTTCTACCCATTTAAAACCACAAAACAACAAGCTGCCTGAATCCCTGTGGTGGTCTTCCTACTTGGTTCTTGCACTGAGGAAAAAATGAAAAATAAAAATAAAGTAAGCCACTCTTTTGAAAGAGAGGACCTTTGCCAGTGCCTTATGTCAATGCACTTGTGGCAAGAAGAAGCACATCAGACTAACTTTCTTTGGCATCAGCAAAACAACATGATCTAATTTCAGTTTGTTTTTTATCCGACTCACAAACCTTTCCCCATGTGCGAATGCAAAGACCCTCAGCCAACTCCAAATGTAGACGTTCTCATCTGAGTGTTTGAATGGGTTTAATAGATTTTATTTAATATCACTTCTTTGATTCTTTTTTTTTCCTTTTTTTTTTTGACGATGATGATCAAATGTTGTGTTGAAATGTATATGTTAAAGCTTGACTTGGTAATCATGTGATCCTGTGGAGTTTAAAATGTATTGGTCTAATTTTTAAACACTTTGGCACTTATCTTCAGAATGCACCAAAATATATTTTTGTCCTTACCAATGTGTTTCAAATTTCACTTATGATCTTTAGCATTTGTTATCTACTAAATTCTTCACTGGTGATGTAAAGATGTATGTTGCCAAGATTTTGAACATTTTGCCTCTTTGTTTTGTATTTGTAAAGCTTAAGTTAATGCAGTCTAAACCATTAAAACTGAAGATTTTACCTTACTTAATATGGATAATTTTGAACAGTACTAAAATGCCAAAGCATTTTTTGGCCAAGTGTTCAGATGCTGATGGCAACATGCAAGATCCATCTTAGGAAAGAATGTCTTCTAAAGTGCATTGTGCATTTCAACTTGATAACCACCTCTATTTTTCTTTGATTATAACATCCCCTCAACATTGGCATTTTTGTGGTAGTGTGCAACATTTGAATTCACATTACAAACCTCCTGTGTCGGGTCGAAGGGTCTGTTTACAAAACAGGCAAAAAACAGAAGTGTTTTGTGAGCATCTATTTACCTTTATCATGTCAAATGTGCCAATAAGGACAGCTTTGGTCCGTAAAAAAATAAAATCTTTTCTTTGATAATTTTTACTGTTATTCTTTAAGCTCACTATATTGAACTATAATGTGTTCAGATATATGAATTTTGTTGAGAATTACATGACAGAAAGACTTTTCATTTTAAAAGGTAATGACATAAAGTGTGTGATGAGTTTAAGTGTGAGTAACTAAGGATTTCAGCATTTATTTATTGTTTGTTATTGGAGGAAAGCAAACCATCTTTATTTTAATTGGAAAAACTCACACGAAGAGAAAAGACAATTAGGAGAAATTTATTGATACAATTACTTTGTCTCAGACCTCGGCAGGAAACATAGCACTTAATTTTGATGGATATGCATGAACAGGTGCAAAGAATAGGGCTGTTTCCCCCCCAGGCCTGAAACTGGTAGTGGAGTGGAGATAGATGAAGTTGGTCAGTCTGTAGACTGCTGGTTAGTGAGATGGTATGCTGAGCTTTATGGGAGCTTCACTTAGGGACCTGGAAGATGATAGTACAGTTTGGATAACACAGGTTATCAGTTGAGAGAACCTGTCCATGATGAGCAAGCATGAAGCGACAGTGGAGAGGAAAAACATTCCTGTTGAACGGGTCATCTGAAAGAAGTCACACAGCGCAACCACCACCTGCGCACATGAGCAGACAAGTTGCGGATCGGAGGCCTTTTAAGATGAACTTTAGATGCCGATTGGCTTTCGTGGAGGTGTGGTTCAAAGCTGATTGGCTGTAACGCAGGTGGATCTATGAGAGCAATCAGTTTCTTCAGTTGAACTTCCACCTAGGCTCCATGAAACAGAAAAGGTTAGTATGCTCAAACGGTCTATTTTCAATATGTTGAGATATTTAGGGATGTGTTTTCCTACTGTGTGGAAACTGTTCTTAAACCTGACAAAAACACATAAAAAGAGGTTGATCAGTAAAATGACAACATGCATATGTACTTTATTTTATGTCCTTTTATATATATTTATATAATATATAACCATGGCATTACAATATTCTCATTGTCTGCATTAGATAATTAATTTTAGTAGAAAATTTACCACCCAGAAACAACATCATATTTTGTCATTGAATTCTTGAATGATTTATTTAAAATGTCAAACCAGGTGTACCAACGGAAATAAAAATACAAGACCTTTGGACAAAATTTATTGAGAATTTTATCCTTTCTTTTGTATCTTAAAGTCAAATTTAACTTATATTTAACAAATATAACTGAAGTTGATATTTGCTTTTTGAAAATATAAACAGATTTTCATATGGGTGTAAATGTAAAATTTGTAAACATAAATTGCTTTGAAGCAGCATATCAAATACTGATTGACAAGAGTGAAAGGCAATTTTTAATGTACAAAAACAAATGTTTGTTTGTTATTTTTTCAGTTTTTACAAAAAGGGTGAAAAATATCCCCAAAAAGTTAAAAGGTATTCAGTGACTTGGCATGTACAGCAGTGTATACAATGTTAGCCTGTGGAGAACAAGCTTGTTTTCTATTTTTCATGTTCTCGTCTCTCCAGCTGACTTCAGATGTTTGCAACGAACACAAACCTGCAGTTGTTTTTGTTTTTCTTCAGTCATTGCCGAGGTCTGTGCATTCTCTCTAAGTGTGCTGTAAGTAATTTTGCATTGGTGTGATTTTTGTTTTCTTCTCCTGCTCCACTGAACATGCTGAATGGTTACCAGAGAAACAAACACAGAAACCAACTGGAAAAACTGGGGGGGAAAAAACAGAAGAAACATCTGCACAGGGTTGAGAATTATTGTATCTCTTGTTTGTTTGTTTTTTTCACAATTAAGTTTAGCTTTTATATCAGTTATTTTATTTTGGAGTAATTCCCAACTAAATGATATCTTCAGCTAATGATTTAAACAATTTGCTCAGAGTCACAAACCCATTGCTTATCAATCAGGGAGTCATGGTAAATAATAAGTACACCCTTCATCAATTGAAGGTAGTGATGTTATGAGATGAGCCGAGGCTTCGAGGTTTGCTTCATTTGGGGGAGGAGCAAAAATAGATGACGTCCGAAGCCTCACTACCCCGCCATACCATGTGACCACTTCGGGAAGTGGTTTAGACTTGCCCGGAACTTCGGCAGGAATTTAAAAAGCCTCAGTATTCAGTAAAGACGCTGGAGTTTGTAGGAGAGTTGTTGTCAGTTGGATAGAGTTTGGATATATTCTAAGAATAGATTGGTTGTTTTTCCGACCAATCTAGTTGGTTAAAACTAGTTTGGTTAGATTAAACAATGTAACGATCAAAATTTGAGAGAGCCACCGGTTACAAATGTAATTGGTTTTAGGTGATATTGCTTTCACAGTTGTTGTCATCTTGCCATTGTCGTCCGCTGTAAGAGATGTACTTCCACTCTTCGATTCAGTTTAATTTATATAGCGCCAATTCACAACACATGTCATCTCAAGGCACTTTACAGTTCAACCAGATCATACAGTCAACCATCAACCTCATGCT